CGCAAATCTGCTTTTAGCAGTCCACTGGAAATGCTGATGAGACAGAGGCCGGGCCGTCCAGCCTAAGTTAAAACGACAATTTATGATAAATCAAGTCCTCGCTTACAAAAATACTCAGTAGTATCTCTATAGTCTAATATATTTTATTATATCATATCATTATATATATATATATATATACATATATATACATATATATACATCTATATATGTATTATACTATATTATACTATATAATATTGTACATATTTCAGCTTCTATGTAATATCATACGAAACTGGTGTTGTTCTTCCTTTGTGCCTCAAATGTAATCCGTCATTTAAATTGGCCCTTGTGAAGGGGATGCACATTATTAATATTCTGCAACACCGATAGTGCATAAATCTACCTAAAGTGAGTATGAATAATGTAGTCTATTGTAATGGTTAACTATAGGTTTGCCTCACTGACAATCCCACTATTAAAATGCCTTATGGTAGAGACCTGAACTTCCGTGAAATTTACTTCTGTCCTGTGACCCGGGGATACTCGGGGCGGCGTGGTGTGATGTCATCATGTCGAGAATCTAAGCTCCCAACCCAGGTTCAAGTCCCAATTTAGGTGTTGAGGTGTTTAAGGCGAGGCCATAACAGCAATCAAGTCCAGTCGTGATAGAAAAACCTTTTGGGGAACAAGGCTATGTGAAATTTAATGCAAATCTGAGGCCTATTCAACTCATAGTGGTAAAACTCGATTATCGGCCAGTACTTCAACACCTTATGAAACCAAGGGCGAATATAGCCCTTATTCGAGATCTACTGGCAATTTAGAAACCGACGTAAACTGAAATAAGGTTTAAGCGAATTAATGAAGTCCAAGATGGTGTTGCCTTTATATTGGTCGCGGTCTCCTTTCGCCGTATAGTAGCTGTTTGACCTTGTTTTCGCAAGCTGGTCGTATTGCCAGGAAGACCTAGAGTAGCGCAGCTTATCTGGAGTCGATAGGATAGATTATAATTTTCAGAGTCAGACGTGTCGCCCGCATTGTAGTCGGCATCGTCAGTGAGCATTCAGATTGTCTTATGTGTTCTAAGAATGGTACTAAGAATATCAAAGCTCACTGACGATGCCGACTACAATGCCGGCAAAAAGTTATCATGCATAGTATGAAATCCGGATGGGGTGCGTTCCTCTAGGTCTTCTTTTCAATATGACCAATTTGCGATAACAAGGTCATACAACTTCTATGAATAAGTATCTGGTTGCACAATTAGCATATTAATCATACTATGAAATGTATTCACCCTATTTCGTTTGCGGTAGTTCAATTTTCCAGCAATTATATGATTGGACAATACATTTCCAACCAATTTCACATGGTCTTGTTTTGCCAAAAGGTATTCTGTGTGAAATTAAATGAAAGTGGAAGTTGGGATAATTCAACTGCCTTATCACCTTAAACGAAATCGGGTAAATACATTTTTTATATATTATCTACTGATAGCTTAATAAACCGGCATTTAAAACGAAAAATATTTTCATACTGCTTGTAAAAGCAAATGACCGCCTGATGAGCTACATGCAGAACTGGAGCTCGAGCTCACCATTCTTAGTGTCAACCGATCGAGTAGACTATTGGTCGTTTCCAGAATCTTTAAATCTATCTCTTGAGTGGTGCAACGGCAGGACCTGTTAATGTCAAATCTCTCTTCAAGATAATTCCACCATTCACTGAGTCCACAATTCCAGTGAGCTCGAAAGGCCTCGAGCATGCAAATTTTTGTGTTTCTCGTCTCCGGGCCTTCAACGCACCCAATGTTGACGTCGTTGTAGGCGTTCCAGGGGCCAAGGGTGTCCATCGATACCACTCGCATTAACAGTTGCCGACATGGTGAAGATGAGGGGGTAAATGGGGTTATAATCGGTGATATGGTCGACTTAATCGGTCGACCTTCTCGTAACGGCTCCCGACACAATGGCCAGGCCTTGAGCACTATAAAGTCGGTCAAATTGAACCGATTGGCATGTGGCTTATCGCGTTGGCTTCTTTTAGGCTGATTGATTGCTCCTCTAGAAGCCCGGCAGATGTGAACTTTAAGATCCGTCGACCAGGGGGCCAGACTGGAAGGATCAAGTGAGTCTTGCGAAAACATAGCTTCCCCGCTTCCCAGTGGTCCGAGAAGCTCGACACACGACA